CACATCGATGTTACGTTATATACCCACCGCGTTAAATGGTAGAACCAAAGATGGCGGTTGATTTGCGTTTAAGGTTCGGTTCGATCATGTTCCCTGTTTTCAATGTTTCGAATCAATAAATGTCGTTCATTCAAACACAGCATTCATATACAGCACGATACGTAATATCGCGAGAATTTTAAGTTATCAAAGAGCAACATTGTCAACGTTGAACTAGATAGACGTTCGCGTCGCCACACTTAGATAGGGTCGGGTCGATGCGGTGGGTCGAGATGCCCAGGGTGTCTGGGTCGAGATGTCCAATTTGGGTCAAAGTGTCTTGGGTCGAGATGTCTAGAAGTCTCTCCAGTGCAATGAATCAATCCAAAAATGACAACATTTTCAGGGGTTGTGTGCTTTGAAATGAACAACAAAAGTAGCAAAAAATAATAATAATTTAGTGAAACAAACACTGTCGTCTGCAAGCACTGGGGAAAAGAACGTTATTGAGATCAGGTCGAGTCATCCGAAATAGGTGGGGGTCGAGATGACTAGGGGTACTGGTAGCTGTGGAATCATAGCCCTATGTTGCCGACCGCATAATTTACACGACTGACTCTGGCCGGCCCATAGGGCTATGGAGCCTTGTGCGTGCGTGAATACCGGTTAAAATCCACATGCCAAATTTGGTCGTCGCGAAAATCACATTTTAAGCCTTTCGAAAGTACTCACTATGTTTATTTACTTCCAAACAATGACCAGAATCTATTTGCACTGTAAAATGATGAAGGTGGTCATAAAAAATTTACTTTATTTACCGTACACAGTCGGAGAAAAATAACAAGACGAAAGACGCCATTTTGGATTCCAGTGTTCATAGCAAATTACGCGAGACCTATAGTTTTCGAAATCAGTAGATAAATTGCGTTATGCAGCTAGTTTCTATTATTAAACAAAAATCATACAATTATAAATACTGTATGAGATTGCTTTCTTGGAACAATGAGAATAACATTTCATAAAAGCAATAAATAATTTAAATAAACATGAGTGAATGTAGAAAATGTGTATAAACATATACACCAACTTAGGGGTCCCCATGTTTGCTTTCTAAAACTTTGAGCCTATCACTGGAGTCAATCTGACAATGGATACCTTATCAATTAAAAGATAAGCAAAAAAAGTAATAAATACATAATTGCAGGGGAATAATTGCGGCAGTTTTGCCAACTGGTTATGGGAAGAGTGAGTGTTTTATTCTTCCACCACTCACAGTTGTGCACCACTGTATCACATGACTGCCGAACGAGATTAAATTTATTCTGCACTAGGGAGTGTGGGATGTTAATGGCTGCCGTTTTCTAGTAATTTGCTTGGTTTCCGCGGTAATTATTTGAAAATATCACAAATTATTGCTTATTTATAAACACAAATTGCAAACAAAAGTTTGTATGTTATTCATCCAGTGATCAATTCACAATAAAGGTACGTCACACCTTCGTAATTGAAAGCAAAAGTGATTTAATTTACGTATGCCAGATTTCTGTTTTTAAACTGTGATAGATCCCGTAGCTCTATGTTAGACGTACAACAACAAAATTAAAAAGAAGACGTCCAAATGAAATTGATAGGGCGAAATTCGATTGTAGGTCGCAATAAAGAGCTATGGAACCGCAGCTAGGGATACTGGGTTGTCTAATGAAAAACTGGTGGATTTTTTTGGGCCAAGATGTCCAGAATGCAGATATTTGGTTTTTGACTCCCATGTGCGAAGCACAAAATGGGAGTCTTTGCAGTTAGTGTGTCTGTATGTGTGTATGTGTGTGTGTATGTGTGTCCGACTGTTCCACTGCTATCTCAAGAACCATACATCGGTTTTTGATGAAACTTGGTGCATAGATGCTCTGGGCCAATGCGCAGATTTGATTAGGTTTTGGTAAAAATCCATGCTCGTTAATTACCTAATTTGCATGATAATTAGCTAATTTTTTAGCTGTTCTATGACTGTTCCACTGATATCTAAAGAACCACTCATTGGATTTTGATGAAACTTGGTACATAGATGCTCTGAACATATGCGCAGATTTGATTAATTTTTGGTAAAAATCCGTGCATATTAATTACCTAATTTACATGATAATTAGCTATTTTTTAGTGGTTCCATGTGATGAA